GAGACCAGTAGTGATCATTTCGCTTGGTGCATGTAGTCCTGCTTGTAAATCGATGCGTACAATGTCTAGTTTCCCTTTAAAACACACCTCCCTCCTGGTTAATACCTTTCTTGTATCAGTCCACCTCTGCTCTCCCTCCCTCTCATGCTTGCCCTACCTTACACGCTTTCCGCCCTGCATCTCGTCCTCCGAGGCCCCTACATTTAGAGTAGTAAGCCTGCTGGCAGGGGGTTATTCCCGCTAATTCTAGCCCACAGTGGGGTGCCCATTAGGGGGTTTGATTCTTGGTTTTGATGTCAAAACCTGGATGTTGTTTCGTAGAGCCAAGCTCACTTCAAACAAGACACATGGGCGTTCTGTAAGGCAAGTCAGCATGTGCCACCTAGATTTGCGATTGAGGAATGACCGCCTCAGGGGCGGAGCGGGCGCCATAGGCTTGCTACGGATTGCTATTCGTAGAAAACGCACCCAAGGACGGCCCTTAAAAAGGTCCCGATGACGTCGGAATAATTAGCATCGTGCCGCGGTTAATTTTTAATACCGGAATCGTCTCACAACCTGCACTACAAGAGTTGTATCATCCCTCTCATCTTTTTTTGATGTACGTGTGGAGCAGGGGGCCAGGCAGTGCTCTGACGGATCCCTTAGTGAAGCTAAGTGCTTAACTGATCGCATCACTGTACTGCCAGTTACCAACAACGGATCTAAATCGTCTCCATGCTAGACCTAGTATGTAAAATTCATAGACTGTGATGATTTATGCATTTCAACCTACTGCATTAAGCACACAATACAGTGCTGCATGTGCATTCATTGACGGACGGCTTCCACGAAACGGAGCCAAGTAAGAGGCCTCGGATACGGTTGAAAGTTTTGAGATGCAACTCACGCGCGTTTGTTTGCACTGCAGATGGATGAGCAGCAAGTGGTATGTACAGTATATGTCATTGTGTGGTTTTATTTCTAATTTCATTCTGATCTATAATTCATCAGCGTGTAATGGACTATTCACTGCTCGGTTTAAAATGAATACAAAGTGACAACACTGAATGAAACACATGGATCGTATTCAATTGTCAACCCCCCCCCCCCCCCTCACCATGCTAACCCTCCTCTTTCTGGCTCTTATCACGTTATCTTTCACACACACAAACACACACACACACACACACACAAACCAGAGTGATAATCCACGGCTATGCAGTTGCAATAATATCTAATGGGACTCTCCACCCACTTGAGCCCCTCCTTTCCATCCATTTGCTCGAAACGGTGCAGTCATGGAACAGAGGACCGATTTTTCATTTTTTTTTGTTGTAAATCTGCTTAGAGAGGTGACAGAGGCTCACACACACACACGCACACACACACACACACACACACACACACACACACGCACACGCACATACACACAAACAGTTGCTTTTAAACAGGATTTACACTCCATCTCCGGAAGGGGCGGGGGTCCCTAAGATGTCCGACCACACCAACAATAGCACAAGCAGCGTGGCGGAGACGGTCATGTGTGAAGGCAAGGACCATGAGGACGAGTCAAATCCGATCTCAAATGAATGAGCTGAAATCATGACGAACAGGAAGAGAGAGAGAGAGAGAGAGAGAGAGAGAGAGAGAGAGTGAGTGAGCACGCAGAATGGGAACTCGAGAGAGTGGATTGGGGCCATGGCAGCAGCAGAGAAATTGAGTTTCACATTGGTAAATAAACAAGGGGGGGATGTGGAGAGTCCAACAATATTAACTCCTCCGATTATTGATACAGTATAGTTCCAGGATTACGAATACATTTCCGCCATGCAGAGAAGGGTCTTTATTTTCATCACCGCCTTGCGACCCCCAGTGAGTAGGGAGCTACTATCTTTTGTTAGCTCTGGCCTTTACACATTTCCATGAAGCTTCTTTGCAGACAGGCAAGCTAATCTCGCACGCTAAACAGGCTACGGCGACAAGAAACCTCGCCGAATAGATAAATATATATATAAATATATACATATATATTCATGCTGAAGCGGGAGCCGTTGTCGCCGCAGATGCTCCGAAGTGAGGTCATGACAGCCCCGGTGCTGTTGCAGGTTTTATATATTTTGTCTACCGTTAGGATGGCTTAATCATCCGAATGGAATGGAGGCGCAGTCTGTAGCTGCGAATGCAGATCCAGGCTACAGGTCCTGTGGGAGTAAACAGTGAGCTGCCAGAGAGAGATGCCTCTCCTGGAGTGAGGGTGTGTGTGTATAAATATATATATTTATATATATTTGTGTGTGTGTGAGCTATCTGTTCTATTCGTTAGCAGTGTCGTAGTTCCTCAGGCATATGACAGGGACACCTCAGACGAGAGGCCCCGGAAGGACCCACGGGGCCCTGTTCTACCTAAACCACCCCGAAACACAACAAAACAAGTACACCGCCCACTGGGACGGCGAGAGGAGGGAGAGGAGGGAGAGGAGGGAGGGAGGGATGAATGGAGAATGTGGATAAAGAGAGTGATGGATAGATAATGAGAGATGAAGAGATTTCACAGTAAAAATGGGGGGAATTGAAGGATGGAGAGATTGCCAAGTGAGACATGGAGTGATAGAGGGTTTTAATTAGTGGATAAGGGCCGGCTATCTGTGGGCAGCGGCAGCACGCTCGTCACGTAGTCGTGCTTTCATAGCTGACCAAGCCTGAAATCTCTTGGTGCTAATGCCGAGTTTACCAGCAGAACTCATACCGTAGTGTACACACACACACACACACACACACACACACACACACACACACACACACACACACACACCAGGACCTCTCTATACAGTATCCCTGATAAGATTTAAAGATGAAACACACTCCGGCAAAACAGCCACAGACGGACACTTACTCAGCGCCCCCCCCCCCCGCCTGCGCCCACACACACACACTTACAGCCTTGCGCTCTAACCGGCAAACACACTCGAACACCCACGCGCCATAGAGGATCAACACGGTCTATTCAGGCCTTGTCAGTAAAGACTGTGCTGTGAAAAAAGAACGAAAAAAAAATCAACCTTTTGCTCGCGATTCCTCCAGCGGTGTCTTCACCATTCAGCCTCCAGCGCGTCTGCCTATACCATTATTCCTCACACTGCAGCACCCAAGGTTAACGCTAGTGCGCGTGCACAGCGGGTCGCACAGGTGACACAATAGCCCGGGCGAGTCGGAGTGCATGCCCATGCGTCGGGGGGGGGGAGCATGGCCAAGAAGCAGGGGCCGGGCCACAATTCAATGTGGTAATGTATCGTGATAAAATCATACATCGAGATACCGCGGTACAGAATTGCATCGTCTAAATAAGCACATATACCAGCTTAAATATC